CGCTCCCCCCCCCCCCGCCTCTGGCCGCCGCCTCGTCCAAGCTGAGGGACTTGGGGTGGGATTCTGAGTTCGGCGGGTCAAAGCCGTCGATGTCGTCGTAGGGCTCTTCCTCCTCCTCCTCCTCCTCCTCCTCTTCCTCCTCGTCGTAGGGGATGGTGAGGGAGTTCATGTCTGGCGGGGACGGGGAAAAGAAAGGAATGAGCCAAAGCAAAGCCAGTCGCTGGGTTAGATGCGGGCGCTTCCGCCGGGGCTGAAATGTCCCAGAGAGCTCAGCCTATCCCCCCTCGGTGCTCATCACCAGTCCGGGTCTCTGCCAGCCCGGCACCAGGGCGGGGTCGCCCCCGTCACGCTCCACAGGCCTACACTGCATTCGGAGGATCTGGAAGCGGGGTGAGATACACGGGGGGCAGAGCTGTGCGGTCCCAAGCAGGATGACAGGAGGGCGGGTTTCTTAATGAGCCCTTAACGAGGCGGGAGAGGATTCGGGGTGTGTGGTGCCCCGGACCGGAGCAAGAGGGGGGTTTCTCGCCTTCCCGTCCACCTGCAGTCCCCACCCGCGGTTCTGCCCGAGAAATGGGATCAGACCAAGCCCCCCATCTCCCAACTTTGCTCCGTGGTGGGCAGCGTGGGACGGGGTGCAGGGCGCCCGTTTTTTCAGGCTCCCCGGGCATGGTCCCCGTTGGCCCAGCAGCGAATCCGGAGCAGCCGGAGCACGGTGGAAAGCCGGCGGGCCTGTCGCACCTGCAGTCCCCACCCGCGGTTCTGCCCGAGAAATGGGATCAGACCAAGCCCCCCATCTCCCAACTTTGCTCCGTGGTGGGCAGCGTGGGACGGGGTGCAGGGCGCCCGTTTTTTCAGGCTCCCCGGGCATGGTCCCCGTTGGCCCAGCAGCGAATCCGGAGCAGCCGGAGCACGGTGGAAAGCCGGCGGGCCTGTCGCCGAGAGGAGCCCCCGGCAGGGCCCAGGTACCAAGAGACAGGCCGGAGGGCGCAGCAGGGCGGGGCGCAGGAAAGCCGCCTGCCCGTCTCCAGCCAGAGCCTGAGCGCGGGTGGAAATCCGGAGCAGGATCCCCCCAGGAGAACGCAGCTCAGAACCTGGCCCTTTGTGGGACGTCCCAGGCACAGTGCAGAACGGACGCAGCCCTGTCCGCTGGGTCCCGCTCAGTGACATACTAAGCTTCTTGCAACAACTAATCTCAGGGCTTGGTCCTCCCTCTCAGGAACAGAGACCCGTCCCTTTGGCAGCCCTTGTGCTTCCAACAACAGCCTCTTTCTCTCTGGACAAAAGCTCCCAGTCCAGGGAGCCGTGGGCCCTTCCCCTACTTCACGCTCCCTCCTGCTCCGTTTGGCTTAGGGATGTTAGCGGGTAATTAACCGGCAAGCTTTACCCTTCATGGGGGACGCTCACCGGGCGATGGATATGCAGAACCGAGGGAGCAGGCCCCCTTTTCCATGGCCCGCTGCAAGCGGAGGGCTGCTTCTGTCCCGCTGGGCCCCCGCGCGGGGCTGCTGGCTCCCAACCCGTGTGGGCAGGGA